TGAAGTTATCGAGCTGTGGATCTGTGAAAAGCTACAGCTTAGCCTTCAGTTGAGGCATTTCACTTGTGCACACAGTCAGTGTAAATGAATAGTAGTAGGGAGAGAAAAAAATGAAAGACCTTGCATGGTCTTTCCTTATGAAGGCCGAGCCGGCTTTAGACAACAATCGTGTGTCCATGATGAACACAGAGCCGTACTCTAACGCTGTAGGTCAATAATATCTGTGAAATAGCAAGAAAATAAACTCAATGAACCCCAAACATCATGATATAAGAGATGTTGGTTCAGCACAGTCACAGACATTCGTGTATAACCTCGCCACCATGGAGGAGGAAAGCATTGTGTCTTTACAAGGACTCGTGAGAAATATACAAGGTCCTCTCATTCGGAATACCAAGTGCTCGCTTTTTAGCTTTTAGATTTTGAGTCTGTATCTTGTTGTAAGTCCACAAGGTATTTTGTTAAGGTGCTCCACAGAGACATGACTTTGTCTTTTTTTGAAAACACCTAATACACAAACATGGATACTTTTAATTTGAGGTCAGTTCTTACGCTCTCTTACCGTGTTGCCTACTGTACTCTAAACACGTAATGCGCAACAATGTGGGCGCTAGTTTAACCGCTAGTGGAGGCTGGTACATTACATTTCCGTTTCTGACCTCACCCACTTCTTTTTCTCTCTCCAGGCTGTTCCCATGTTACCTGCTTACCTCCAGATATAAAAAAAACCACCCTACGCATGCACATCCATTCTCAAACCCCACACACACATGCCGTGGAGATTGTAGTGTGAACGGAAGAGAGAAGTGAAACGCCAAAGCGAGTCTTATGCTGGTGGCTTAATAAAACTGGCAATAAATGTTTGTACTCTGTGTTATGATACCGTTATATCTGACCCTTCATTTAGCTGTGATAAATCCAGAATATTTTATTTATCATATAGTGACATCATCATGAAACACTCGCTCTTCTATTGGCTAGCGCTCCAACACATTGTACGTGATAGGCTAAGGGGCGGGACATCTCTAAGCGGTTGACCAATCACAACAGAGCCGGCCAGCTAACCAATCAGAGCAGATTGGGCCCTGGTTTCAGACAGAGGGTGAAAAGAGGTGCTGCAGCACAGGCAGTATGAGAACAATAAAGAGCTTTTTGAACATTAAAGCATGGAGACATGTCCAAAAAATATTAACATTAGACCTGAAAATGAGCATAAAATGATTTTAAGATGACCCTTTAATTGGGTGAAGGAGCCATGCTGTCACTAGCATAGCCAACTACCAATATTAGCTCCAGCCCGCCTGCAGTCAAGATGTTTTTAAAGCCCCATTTACGTTTGTGTTATTGTTTGTGCTTCATTTGCTTCTTTATTAGAAATGTTAACCTTCTGAATGATGTTTCCATCAACGTGTGGTGAGTTAGCAAACCATCTAGAATCAGGTTCTTTTTGTTGTTGTTTTGAACATTAAGCCTCTACTGAGTACCACTTTGTTTATGCGAAGGTTTCTATAAGTGGCTATAGCTACTCTATTGAGCTTCCCCTGCTGATGGTAAGCACAGCATACACACGCAACATACATGTGACACCTGGAGTTTATTTCTGGTGGATAGGTGGTCACGTGGCTATTCCCTTAGAGACTTTATGACTTGTGTGACAGTTGGTGTCCTTCAAGTTGGGGCGAAAGATGGCTGAAGGAGCCTCTGAAATGGGACAGGCCCTGTCATACTGTAATGACATATTTGGTCTAGAAATGCAGACTCTGGGAGGATGCAGCCGGTGAATTGGAACAGAGACTCTGACACTGCATCACTGCCGCAAGGTGACGACTCACACCTGCAGAGGCTGAGGTCAAACAGAAGGGGCAGAATGTGATGCTGAGGGCAGCCATTTAATGTTCAGTAAGTCACAAGCTGACTCATGCAAAGGGTGACATATTTGAATTGTATTTAAGTAAATAAAATTCTTATTTGACTATATTTGAGCTTTTTATATGACCAACATCACATAAAGTATAGATTTTTAGAATTAGAATACTTATTTCTTCTTATTATTATTATTATTATTAATTTGTTATATAATGCTACACTGAACAAAAATATAAACGCAACACTTTTGTTTTTGCTCCCATTTTTCATGAGATGAACTCAAAGATCTAAAAAAATTTCTATATACACAAAATAACCATTTCTCTCAAATATTGTTCACAAATCTGAAAAAATCTGTGATAGTGAGCACTTCTCCTTTGCCGAGATAATCCATCCCACCTCACAGGTGTGGCATATCAAGATGCTGATTTGGCCATGGGTGACAGCAGTGGGTCAAACTGTGCATTGTCTCTTCAAAAACAATACAGTTTTTGCCAAGAAGGTGAGGCTTATTGACAGGGCGATATATAAATATACTGTTGGTACTTGTCAATGTCTCTAGGTGTGTACATGTAGCCCTGTAGATACCATGTCCTTTTGTGTTATCTGTTTTGTGTTCATGTTGTAACCTACTTGCTGCCATGTTGGACAGGTCCCCCTTGAACAAGAGATCGATGATCTCAATGGGACCATTTGGCCGAATAAAGGTTTAAAAAAAAAAATGTATTATTAAAAAAATATATATATTTTGAAAAAATTAAAAGAATCGCGGTAATTTTTTTCAGTCTCACGACGGTATTGAAACATTATTTACCGCGATATCGCGATATTTAATATATCGTTACATCCCTAATAAATACCGTATATTACAATGTATACAGTTATATATATATATATATATCAATAAGATATTAATGATGAATGTAACAGTTTAAAAGCGTGTGTTGCTCATGGTGAAGTAATCTTTCTTTTTCATTTTATTTCTAAGACAATGTCATGCTTCCTTTTATACGGCATGTAAGCTGCTTATCACAATCATCCCAAATAATGTGTGACTTGTTCCAAGACACAACATAAAGAAAAAGAAAGCCCTTTGTGCAGGCTGCAGATCTATGAAGCTGAATTTGATTTCTACTACAAGGGGGCAGGGATTGCCAGACGGCCCTCGGGCTTAGAGGGCTGACACATTGAGTCGCTAAATGCCTCTTTGAGCGATGGTACGATGTTGTGATCGACAGTCCGCCAGGGTCTAAGTCACCCTGAGAACAGTAGCTTTGAGCCCCCCGCTGACAAGCTCCTGTGAAAAGCTCTCCTAAAAGCCCTTTACTTTAATACTGACATCTGAACACATATTCACTCACTCACCCACGCATGTGCACATTCCCTCAAGAGCACAACGTTAAAACTCTGAACATGTTGCTGCTTCAAATCCTGTTTGGGATTCCCACCTGTTCCCAGCTCAATGTTCTCTTGCCAAGGTCAACTTGTGTCACTGACTTCAAAACAAAAGCTGTTTTGTTTCCAGGGAAGCTGAAAACTCAACACACGGAGAGATCGTGACTTCTTTTTAAATACTACTTCACGTTTCCTCTCTCATATCAAACTTCAAGTGTGGAACCCACTGTAATGCTGGGCCCATTGATGGACAATGTGATGTTAGGAGACACGGAAACTGTGTTTTGTAATGGCACTTTTATACTGAATTATTATATTGTATTGTATTTCATTATCAAATTACCTGATATATGTTCTTGAGCCAGAGCGACTATATGATTTAATGGGTTAAGAGAGTACAAAACGATTGGTAACGCAGATAAGAAATGTATATCTCATTCTGATCATAGTTTTGCCAGTTCAATTGTTTTGTGTCATGGTTCGTACCCGTTAGCTAATATGGAGTAACACCAGATGTGAAACCACAGTATCAGTATGTAGTGTCTCTACTTTAAAGAGTCCTCTCCTGCTGATGTTCAGGTGTATATCAGTATGTAGTGTCTCTACTTTAAAGAGTCCTCTCCTGCTGATGTTCAGGTGTATATCAGTATGTAGTGTCTCTACTTTAAAGAGTCCTCTCCTGCTGATGTTCAGGTGTATATCAGTATGTAGTGTCTCTACTTTAAAGAGTCCTCTCCTGCTGATGTTCAGGTGTATATCAGTATGTAGTGTCTCTACTTTAAAGAGTCCTCTCCTGCTGATGTTCAGGTNTATTGTCATACTGATATTCTGTACAAACTGTGAAGTCCACTGAGACAAATGTAACATTTGTGATATTGGGCTATATAAATAAACATTGATTGATGATATCAAATGCAACCTCATAGAGCTGCTACAGTAGCATGGCTTTAGACTCTTAATCAAACTCTCGAATCCAACTTAAATCAGACTTTTCACACACAAAGTTCTGATCATCCAACACAACATTTTATTCGTGAACAGTCATAGATGTGATGTATAACAACATCATTTATGAAATATATACAGACAGTTTCTACTTTTCTATTATCACAGTATACATTTTGAGAACACATTTTCATATACAAGGCCACCAAAATACATTTTTAATTTAAGTGAACACACTATGCAGTATGCTGCACACATTACAGTAATTAACATCTGAACATAGCCGTTTGACAGGGGAACTGGTGAAAATCAATCGAATTAGTCACAATTGACCTTTTCGTCACTATTTAAAATCAATACTACAATATTAAATCATGCTTAAACTTCCAACTAGAAGTAGACAAAGCCAATATTTGCGTCACAGCTCAGGCAGTTGTTACTATGGTCACGCTTTGAGATATATAGCATTTTAAGATTAATAACTTACTTGAGGTGATGAGAACATAGACATCAATATGATAACAACCAGATTCAGAGACAGCTTCATCCCGCAGGCAATAAGACTGTTAAACAACTGAACTGCTGAAACAATTTCATAACATTCATCTGCTACTTAGTAATTATTTATCTATTATCTAATATATCATTCAAATAACTTGTATATAGACTCGTATTGCACTATTCCTCTTTTTTTTAAAACTATTTTTCTTTTTTGTATTACTTTTAATATAATATACTTTAATATTTTTTTAACATTGTCTGCTTATCTATATTATTGTGTTGCATTGTTGGAGAAGCCTCTGAGCTAAGATTTTCAACGACATAATTACTCTGTAGCTATGTTAGTTTGACGATAAAGAACCTTGAACCCTTGAACCTTGAAACGTTTGCAGTTGTGCTTGCATGATGAATGTTAACGTAGGAAATGAAGAAGAACATAATGTAAAGCTAAATGCTAACACTTTGTTTGTGCACATTCATTTGGGTATCTGACCCACAAAACAGAATAGAAGACCCTGACAGATTTGTGTAGGCTGTCTGGGGGAGAAATGGTTTCAAATAAACTGTTTTTCTGACGGAGGGATTTTATAAAGATAGGCGCTAAAACGAAGTGTTTCAAACAGTGGGAATACAGATTTTTTTCAGGCAGCAAATGTAAAGAAAATTAATGTGTTTTTTGAACTTTAAAGCATGTAAACATGTTCAGGTAGAAACCCTGAATCCAAGTTTGAATCTGTAAATGTGCATTATATGTCATCTTTAAATTGTGTTCGGTGCATATAGCCTACTGTAAGTTAATATTATAACCATATCAACACTTTTGCATTGCAGATGAATACATTAAGGTTGATTGAATTTAGTTCAATAAAACCTACATACTGGATTACTGACCAACATGATAATAAAAATAAAAATAAATAAAAGCACTGATAGTTTAGTCATCCTCACTTTTATAGAGCTTTCACAGAATATCGCTCAGTGTGATCGTGGTCTCTATGCTCTCATCTTTAAAGTTAAATTGGGTCAGTTAAAGAACAAAAAATGTGTTATTTGTCAAAGAAAACAAACCTCTCTCACAAAAGGCTCCACTGGCAGTTGTTGTTTGAAGGTGTGTCTGTTGGGTGGAGGTAGATTGTTTTCTGTTGTGAGTATCTATATGACCTGGCCATGGCTTGAATAGCAGGCTGCAAACATTTAAACATAGTTGTTAAAATATTAAATATTGATTCACCTTCGTAAATTGGACCTTCAAAGTATAAAACAGAAATAAAGTCTTCAACAAATGTCACGTTCAAAACCACTTTTTTCTACTCAATACATATTTAAGACAAAAACCAACCGTTCTTTACCAGTGTTAACTTTCCAGTACTTTTTCAGTCTTTGGCACATTCTTCTTCCAGTCTTCAGTGTTCACTCTGCTGTTTAGGCGCCACCCGTTAAGGCCTGCCCGTTCTTGGCACTGTCAGAGATTTTCCGTTCCTTCTTCTCCTGAGCAGCAGTGGTCCGTGTCAGATCCTGGATCAGTTTGGAGTTGAGGAAGCGCCTGTAGGAGTCTTTCTCCATCAAGGTGTAGATCATCTGCTGGGCCTCGTCGAAACAACACGGGCAGGGGTTCTCTACGTTTTTCTTTGTTTCCTCTCTGGTGGCCGCGTCTAAGTTCACCTTTAATAAATGGAAAGAGTGGGTTGAGATTTATCAGGATTTCAAGAGCATAAACTTGTATTATGACATACTATATTGCTATGGTTAAAACAAAAGATCTCAAAAATATTGTCCTATGGCAAAAGAAAAGCTTAGAGGAAAGAACAAAGCATTTGTACATTTATATTCTCAGTTTATTTTTACCAACTTTTCAAATGTTTTCAGTCAACCCATATGACTGAACTGAAGTGTTCTTAAATTCCCTCATTCATTCTGAGAGTCTCAAAGTGCTTGAAGGCTTTTTGGTATAGCAGTATTGTGACTGAATATATTCATAGCTCTGCAGTCACATCAGCTTCAATTATTCACTTTCCTGAAGGAGATGTGCAGCTGCATTCATAGGATGTATCTAATGCCTGTGCGGTGTGTTTGAAACAATATTAATTCATCTACATTTTTGTTTTCCGCTTCTCTCTCTAGAATACTTCCTGACAAAATAAGCTAAGGTGCTTTTACATTTTTCGTCATAACATAACATACTGATGAAGCTCTCTAATTGACATTTTATATCTTACATTCTTTGATAAAAATGATTACCTCATTGGTGGCATCGGCCTCAACATGTTGCTGGTAGATCTGCTTGGATCTGTTGGCCATCTTAGAAGGAGCAGACTTCTTGTATACTTCGCAGGCGACCCAGAAGTCCAGATTCTCCTTGCTAAACTCTGACTTCAGGAAGTTGCCGAAGACGGTACGACCCACTAACACAGAGGGGAAAAAAGGATCTTTTAATATCCAATGCACCTTACAGACACATGAGTATGCACATTTGCAAAGCTGAAGTATCATTAATAGAGGGTATGTTATATATTGAAGATCCTTTTAACTAAAAAGAAAATACAGCCTTGACATATGGATATTAAAATGATCTAAATGGTAAATGCCCATATTTGTGTTGAAGAATCAGAATCAGTGGTACAATTTAAGGTGCCAATGTTTGCCAAAATGCTTCCAACTTCCGTTTCCCAATCCGAAAGCTATTTATTAGTTTAAATTGTCTCCAAATTGCTTGTGAGGTGCGTGAAATCAAATAGGAAGATTGTCTCCCCTTGCTAACTGAGTGGAACCTTATGGCAATAGAACATTTATATAATTGAGCACTGGCTGAAACAGTCACTTAAAATCTTCCTCATCAAGAGAAAATAAGCACTTTACGTGAAAGCAGCGTAATTATACTGAGTTATAACATCTCACCGAAAGATCATTGAGTCCTGGCGGCAATAATTGCATCCTTTCTTTCCTAGACAAGTGTTTTCCAATAATCAATGGAAGGCAAAACCTCATACCCTCAGCACTACGATGACAGCACGGAGACCATTGAGGCCAGGATAAGATAAACGGAACCAAAATAGAACCAATAAAAGCAGAAAGAGGACATGACGACGTTGGGAGGTCAGTGGATGAGGTCATGGAACGGAGCAGGTCAGAACCCAGCGGGTTCTTGGAAGGCCATTGCTCCCTTTTTGTGTTTGCGTACTCACAGTGTAATTCTCAGTGGGCTTGTACATACACACACAAACACTTGTACACTCTGCACTCAGCATGCCCTGAGGGGCCGTTGAGTTGTGCCTAGAGACACGTAGCGGAGGAGCAGAGCATGAGAATGCGTTGGAGAGCGCCTGTTTGCGTCTGTTCAATTTCCATGTTTGTGTGACCAAGTGTCCTTCAATGTCGATTATCATCATGATCTGTTGCTACCTAATAAACGCTGCCAAACCAACATATTTGCTTTACTAAATGTATTTCATTTCCAATTTATGCCATACAAAGAGTCAAGAAAGCGATCACTTTTGACCTGCCAAAACTTTACTAGCAGCCATTGGCAAGGAATTTGAAGGACTTGCCTGATCATTTTCCCAGGATAACAGCACAATCATGTCACACGAGAATGATAGTGTTTAGGTTTTAAGTTTTTTTTGTAAACCCTTAGAGAGATACTGCTGGTAAAAACCAATGAGTCAAGCACCCGCATGGCAGTAATTCTCCGTATTGTTGGTGACAGACGATGAGCAAGGAGGGCGGAAGTTCTTTGGGTTTGCTTTGGACATAAACATAACCTAGTAAGGAAGTTTTAGGTTCTACTTCAGGTTAAAGAGGCATGAAGCAACAGTGTTATACTTACTCTCACTGGTAATCACATGGTTGAAAGATTCCTTCCATTTCTTCACCTCAGCTGCAGTTGGCCCACTAAAACACAGATGGAGGGTCTTATTTAAAAAGGTTGCAAATACTTTTTGAGTGTTTTTAAATTCAACCTGCGACATGAATTTAGCAATTTCACTGTAAAAAAAAGACGGAATTAAATTACACGGATTGTGTTCAGGGTCTGAATTTTACATTAAACCATATCCATTGTGGACATAAATACGTTTTAATAATGAACTTACTGTAGAGCACTGTTTGAAAAGGTTAAGAAACCATCCTACTGGATTCCTGGCATTCAACTCAAACAAATACAAAAAACTGAATGCAAAATGTTGTATCAGAAGCATGTCCATAACAATTATATAAAAGAGTATACAATATAGTGGTGCAAGAATGTGTCCTGAAACAGCCAAATGAGTTAGCCTTGATCTCTTCGGTTCCCTCATTTGTTTAGTTTCATCAGTTATGGTTAGATGGTCGAAATATGGCAGTTGTGGCCAAAAGCCAAAGATAACCTAGACGGTTGTTTCCACCTAAAATACTTAATGAAATACCTCATGAATATATGATATTTTGTCTTTAAACAGCAGTTGTTACATGTGGCTAAATAAAACTAAGCATTATCAAGCATTGACCATTGCAATGCTGACTTGTTAGCCTACAAAAATGAATCACCCCTGTGACACTCAATAAAACTATAAAAAACATTTACATTTCTAATTTCTTATTTCGAGAATGTAGCTGAATTTGAAGTATAAATGCCACATTTTTAATGGGTTCAGATTTTAGCAGATAAACATAATTCAAATGTATTTTCTCTAATGCTAGCCATAATAATCTTCTTTACAGTAAGGCAGCTTTGGAGGAAGGTCTTCCTACTGCATCAATAAACTGATCAATAACAGCAGAACATGTAATCACACCAGCTATCCCTGATTTGAAAACTGTTATCTTTATTGTTACACCACTTGAATACTGCTTGCCACTGAAGCTCTAACGTGCTTTTGTGTTGGGAATGAAACTAGTGTTATGTCATTATGGATAATCAATATTTTTCTTCCAGAGCTGTCGCTGAAAGGGTTACATGTTGCTGAAAAAAAGGTCAGGGTTTGTGTGTCGCTCATAAAGGACGGTAGGAGGCTTCCTGATGGAGAAGCGATAGAAAAAGGCTATAGGCGAGATTGAGAAAAAAGAAAAAACATGTTTTCTCCAAAGTAATGTAAATGCATTTCAAAATGCAAACACATAAACATAGTACTAGTATGTCAAAGTAATATTAACCCTTATAAATGCTGCCCATGGTAACAAGGACCAGCTCTGGAATTACACATATGAAAAGATGAAGGAGGGGCTCAACACAAAACAAGTGCCTGTTCTCAATTTCCCTTTTTCACCTGGTCAATGAAAGCTCACGTGTAGTCAACATCTTTTACTCTTCTTAATAATCAAGGTGGATACAGTTTTCAGGTCTATAAAATTGCCCTGAAACTCACAATATTAACTCCCACGGTGATCCTAGAATAAATCGAACACATATGTCATAAAGCAGTATTATCCTTCTATAACCGAGGACATGAATCCTCCTGCTGTGCCCTTCATCAAGTATTTCCCTGTTTAGTGCTTCTAACTAGAAATGCAGTCCATGAGCACTTTTTAACAAAATAATATTCATCTCTCAAGATTTAATCAAGCATTGTCTGCTTCAGTTATAATCCCTGTGTTAGTATTCATAAGAAAATACACACTCCAGGATGAGCAGTTTGATGTGAGATGTGAAGAATACAAAAACAAACATATATTTTAAAAGCTTCGCGATTTGAACAAATAGAAAGTCCCTCTGACCTCTTAGCAGCTGCAGCATCATTTTTCTCTTTTATCTGACTCTGATGAGATGTGTGGTGCTCCGGCTTCTGGAGTAAGAAGGATATTTTATGTTTGATGTCTTTGGCGCTGTGGGGAGATGGACGAGAGGAAAGTGAGTGAAATGCATTTGAGAAGATTTCCATTTATTTGCATAAATACACATCTGCATATAGTATCTGCTTTATGTAAACAAATAATAAGCAACAGGTTTCATTTTTGAACTATTGTTTTAATTACTCGGCTAAAGTGACATTTTATATAAGATACCAAAAATATAGAATATACAGTGTATGAAGTTCCTATATCACAAAAAATATACTAACACTCCTATCAACCTGTTGCTTAGACTTTATTTGTCTTACCTTTTTAAGCATGTTGCAGGAAGCGTAGCAAGTCCTCTACACATGTTGGAATGATACTGATCCAAAGTGAGCTCTGTTGTTTTGAATGACGACAGCACAGCCGGTGTGAATTCAAGCAGCAGAGTTTTCAATATGAGACGGCAGACAGCTGCTGTCTCCACCCCCAGAAGTAGCTTTATACCTCCAGGATGCTACCACTGACACCAAACTGACCAATCAGAGGAGACAGGAAGAGAGAGGGATACTAAACTGAGAGTGGGGGAGGGAGGGAGGGACATCGGGGGAAATGTACTGCAGGTCTTTGTAACCAAATCAAAAGGTGTTTTCTACTGATGACGACCAAAGCCATCTTGGTGTGGAAAAACACAGGTACTGTAGCTTCATCAAACTCAGTTAAAAATCTAATCCAGAACATCAGTATGTTATTGTTAAGGCATTCAAGAGAATGGTAGTGCATTGTGGGAATTCTGAGACTTGAAAGTTGTGCCCCAAATAAAACATCTTGTTTCTTGCGGTTTGGATTATCGCATATCTCATGGTAGCATAGAAATTTGAAAGACAGGCAGTCATGGTGACTTTTTCCGAGTGGTGCTTCATTGCTTAGATCCTCAACCATTCCCTCCTCATTTGTGATAATTAGTTCACTTTATATTAAGGTACACAAATTAACCATCAACTAGTTGTTAATTAACATGCATATTATAGACCCTCCAGAAAAACGCGGGCAAAAATCCTTGATTATGCGGGCTAAAATCCTTGATTATGCGATTAAACATACGGGGTTTTTATGTGATTTTATGCGGTGAAATTGCGGGAAGTTGCGAAATATGCGGAAAGTTGCGAAATATGCGGGAAAAAAGAATAACAATTTTTTTAAATATTGGGCTGTCTTATTTATTCTCTCTCACACACAACCTGCCACTAATGTTAAACCCCTTTACTATTCAATTAAACACATTCAATGTTTATTTATTGTAAAAGCAATTGGGCTATTTTAATCTCACACACACACACACACCCGGTGTGTGTGTGTGTGTGAGATTAAAATAGCCCAATTGCTTTTACAATAAATAAACATTGAATGTGTTTAATTGAATAGTAAAGGGGTTTAACATTAGTNATTTCACATCATTCATCCAGATCTGTAAAGTACCTAAAGGTATTAAATAAATGTAGTGGAGTAGAAGTACACAATTCACGTCTGAATTATAGTGGTGTAGAAGTATGAAATAGCATTAAATAGAAATACTCAAGTAAAGTGCAAGTATCTCAAAATGGTCTTTAATACAGTACTTGAGTAAATGCACTTAATTACTTCACACCTCTGACATTGTACCTGCTAAAGACTTATTTTTGAGTGGAGCTTCTAACTTTGCGTGTGTGTTTCTGTGATGACACTACTATCTGATTTGAGTTTGGATCTTGAATTTTAGCATTGCACCAAAATAAAACGACCCTATAACCCCATCAAACTAAAATGCTGATGATGTGGAACGATTACTCTAGGAGGCAGAGCATCATTGCCTGGAGGATACATCTGTGGTTGACTCTTGCTTGATTTATGTCTTTTCAGGGCAACCGGGGCAGAACAGGAGTGGTGGTGGCCGCCTACATGCATTACAGCAACATATCTGCCAGGTAGGTCTATGATCCATACTACACCTGCAGAGGGGAACTGTGTAGCACACTGAGAGAGAGAGGAGTTGAAGTCATACAGAAATAGCGCAAATAGTAAAGGAGAAGTAAACCAGGTAGAATGGGGACACGAGAGGAAAAACTAAATGAAGCAGCATTGTTCATCACAAAACCGAAGCACACATTCGAACAGACGGAGATGTGATAAACACAAGAATGAGGGGCAGAACATGAGACCGGGCAACAGCATTTTTATTTGAAAAACTATTTGATATTACAATTATAAGCAGAAAGCAATGAGTTAGCTTCTCACCAAATCACAAGACTCAAATTATAAGTGCCCACCTTTTCTTTATAGGATTTGATTTTAGATCTCATACTGTAGATAGGATGGCATCCTCCTACATAAACCAAAGAGATGTGAATTGTTAAATTATCAGAAGGAGCACATGACTCGGTGTCGTCTCAGAAAGAACACCAGGAACAAATGAAACACACTCTGTTCCCTGCAAAAGTATTACATTTCTCTTTAAACTCATTACCTCACAAATCGTTTTAAAGCTGGCGTGAAGTAGCTGTGAAAACTGAAGTAGCAGCAAAAAGCCAGAACATGAAACCACTGTGACATTTGCCGTACGGGAATATAAATGCTACGTACAAAAATGGCAAGAAGGTGTTTTACTGTGTGATAGGTTACGGAGGCTATGCAGAATTAGCTGCTAGAAATAAACACTGAGTGTAATTTATTCTGCAAGATCTTAAGATGTGTGCTAGACACACTCGGCTGAACTTGCATGACATGATAGTGCATACTAGGAAGGTCTTCATTGAGATTTAGATTTATCTGGCGATCTGTTCTAGTGAGAAATTATCTTCTTTTTTGTTTTCCTTATCATGTTTGTTGTGACAGGTGCATCTCATGCTATTATTCATTGCCTAGTTATGTGTTGACCCCTGTGTATACTGACATAAAGAATGCTGAAGGATGGTGTTGCATAAACATGCTTTCATTTAAAAAAAAATAATTTAAAAAATGTTCATGTCATTGTGTGACAAATGCATGGCCCCAATGGCAAGGCTTACTATGAAAACATCCTATGACGCACTCTACAGTACATACTAATATACTTGAAATCAGAGGAGGAAGAAGTAATAGAACCATTACTTAAGTTCAAGTAGCAACTAGTTTGTACAATGAATCTGTCACAAATAAAGTTCTGCATTCAAAAAGTACTCACTGCACAAAATAGTCCATTTCAGAATTATGTCACTTTAGTTACTGGATTATGATATTGATGCATTAATGTTTTCATTACGCCATCAAAGGTGGAGCTAGTTTTATTTATTTTGGATACTGCTGCTGAATGTATTAACCTGTCATTACTTAGCATAGTTCATTTGTTGGTTGATTTATATTTTGCATTAGCTAATAATCTGTCAGATAAGAGTATTGAGTACAATACTTGCTTTGAAATTGTAGTGGAGTAGAAGTATCAAGTAGCATAAAAAGGCAATACTTAAGAAAAGTACAAGTACCTTAACATCAAATTTACTTTGATCACATTCCGAAATACCGTGGATTTACATTGCTTGTACTCCAGTGGAAATAAAAGGGCTTTTTTTAAGGTACTTTACTTCCTGTGTACTGACGGAACCTCTGTGTTTGAATGCAGTGCTGACCAGGCTCTGGACAGGTTTGCCATGAAGCGCTTCTATGAAGACAAAGTGCTTCCTGTGGGCCAGCCATCCCAGAAAAGGTCAGTTGTTGTTTATAGTATGAGTTTGACCCCAGTGAAATGTCTCTTTAAAAAACCCTGTGTCTTTTTAAACCTACAAATATTTAAAGCTGGGTTTTGGATTTGAATATGATGTTAATATGTCTGACTTGTTGATGAATGTATCTGTCTGCTGTTTGGTGCTGGGCTGGGAATGTAATCATGGTCACTACCAACACTCATTGAGTATAAAACAAATATGTAATAGAATACAAACAAGGTAGAAGGTTGACTTATTTAGCATGGCTAAAATTGTTGTTGCGAGAGTTGAGGGACAAATACTACCTTCATCCCTTTATTGTAAACATAGGAATTATAATTGGAGTTCTCTCTTTATTTATCTTGCTCAGGTATGTGGAGTACTTCAGTGGCTTGCTCTCTGGACATATCAAGATCAACAACAAACCCCTGTTCCTTCACCATGTGATCCTGCACGGCATCCCAAACTTCGAGTCCAAAGGAGGTTAGTGCAGAAATGCTCTCACACATAAGCAACTTCACATAAACTTCTTCATTTTGTAACTTTAAAAAAAAAAATGGTTTTGCAGGTTGTCGTCCTTTTCTCAAGATCTACCAGGCCATGCAGCCCGTGTACACATCTGGGATTTAGTAAGTCTTAAAACACACTCTCACTCAAATGCTTTTACAATATTCCAGGGATAGCTAGCTTGTGGTGGCTCAATAATAAAACAAAAACTGATTTTCCTTTATAGCCTCTCCCTTTACTCCCCTTCCCCCCAATATCCACATTCGCCGTCACCCCTGCCAGTTTATACTCTATGCTTGCCTCACATTATTGTGTTTAGCTAGCCTCCCCAGCTGCAGGCTCTTGTTTCCCTACTTTAGATCCCGCAGTCACTTCTAGTGTTATTTGTGACCGGAGAGCCAATTAAACAGTTAGACAGGCATCTGTGTGGACGCCTGCAGGGTATGACTGCCAAAAGGAACCCGATGGTTCCCAGAGCCAGACAGGAAATAATGGTTTCTATGATTTTTCTGTTGTTGTTTTGGGAAGAGTGGAGGTTAAGGAGAGGATAGCAGGGGAGCGCTGCCCTCAGATGAATGAGGCACAGGCCACAGTGATACCACATTTAAAAGCATTTAACACATAACAGACAGACTGTTTTATCGTGGTGCATAGTGTGCTTGTTCTTATAGGAAAAACATGCATGCAGAGTTCAGACCATGCTGTTTCCGCTAAAAATGCAATTTGTACACCTCCCTAGTATTTTAAACTTTAACAACTTAATACATTAACCAATAAGATTCATATTGTGTCACCTACTGCAGCTCTGGACGTTTTAACAAAACTGTTCATGAACAATGATATAAAGCTTTAACGCCAAATCAGGTGCTTTTGTGAGAGCGCCAGCACTCATAGAAAACTTGCATTGGACAATCCCGTAACGTGTAATCCAGAGCTGTACAGCCCTGCAATGAGGGAGTACAAACATTTTAATTGTCATTAAGTAACTTGCGTTATTTGGCCATTATTTAAATCACACTCTCAGACCTCCGCACAGTGTGGTTGGTTGTGAATGGACCCTAACCTTGGGGACAGAGCAAAAAGCATTTATATATTATCACTTTAAGAAGTTTGAATGCCTAATGTGTTTGCCAATCAAATAACTTTATTTAGAGGTTTGTTTCTGTCCATCCGATTAATATAAGTACAATATCAACTGGCCTTTAAGCTCTGTTTTGATCTCCTCCTACTACTTTGGGTAACATCTTGCTATTTATCTGCTAAATATCCAGTGAGTTAGAATGCTAAATTAAATATTTGTCTGTCATTTGATACTGTACAAGTAACATACAGAGTGTTTATCAGAGCTTTCATGCTTGAAAGTGAGGGCTGAGTTCGTAGGCGAGAAACAGTTAGCTAAAAGATGCTAAAATGCTTCAGATAACAGAGAGTTGTTAATAATCCTTTGTAAATGTGTTCGTAAAAAAGACACGTTTAACATTACCCATACCAATTTGCATTATAAGTTTCGAAATATTTCTTATTGCGGTTTAAATTCCCTAATCCCTATCTCCTGCCTTTTACCCTATCCTTGCTTTTGCCCTCTGAGTTTAAGGGTGCAGCTTTTCTGAAGCGTTGTTAAAATTGTAACTGTAAACAGTGAAGCCTGCTTGTGTGGAACATGTCTAGTGTTAATACATAAACACTTTTACAGCATACACCATAACTAAGTGTGACATCAGTGCGCATATATTTCCAGACTGTCGACCGCTTAGAGCCCCAAATCACATTCCTCCCCCCTTTCTCTCACATGCTCTCTATTAGCACCCTCCACCCTTTGATCCCTCTCTCCTCATGTAGACACTAATACCCAAAATTAGCCAAGCGCTGCTACGCCCTGTGATGGCCACTGTTCAAGCATATACCTGATTGTTAGTAGACGATGTAGATCATGTGAACATAGTTATACCCAGACAAGTAACATCAAAAAGAAAATGATGTAGCGGAGTTATGTTGGATTAGACCAGTGTTTCTCAAAGTGCTTTCTTTCAGAAGCATGACGGGGGGGCGCGAGAGACCAGGAGGAAAAACGGTTATTAAAAGAAAAAAAAATCATAATTTGAAAAATTATTGATTTGAAAATAATATGATACAGTAGGCCTACAGTACAATTACGTCTGGGTCTCTGTGTTTCATTCAAGCTCGGCTCTGTGTGTGTGTGGAACGAGCCATTTTGTGTGTGTGCGTGAGCGAGATAGAGCGCACCAGTACCGGAGATCGTTGTTGTTAGCTTCTGGTGCTAGCGAGCTACGCTAACAGATATAAGGAGCTTTTTCAACAACAAAGTGGAGGAGAGTCCTCTCCTGTCAGACTGAGAGGCTCAGTGAACTAAAGGACTCTCTCAGTTTTATCTCAGTGGGTCTCAAACGTTTTGGTCACCATTAATGTAAACAATTATTTCCAAGGCATACGTTTATATGATCATTATAGTTATAAAAAAATAAGAGAATAAATGAAAAACAGGTATGAAATACTATATGACAGTAAAAAAAAATAAAAGGGTGATTTTTAAAATATACATAGAGAGAAAGTAAATCTGTTCACAGTTCTGTTTCAAATGGGTGTTGAGAGATGTATCCATAGATCTCTTCATTGTGCTCTCAAAGTGCACCAGATTGATGCATTTAACTTCAATATTTAAAAATAAATCTTCCCGGAGGAGCTTGCCCCCGGACCCCCCTATGGGAGGTCCACACACCACCTATAAAAATAGCACTTTACCCCTGCTTACAACTATATGCCGTGAGCTGATTATCGAGCCTTCATTGTAGCAGTCGCGGGTACACTGTGTATTTGCAGTAGAAAATTCAACTGTAGCGCCCGGTACCTTAATGGGAAACCCTAAATGTTTGAGCACCCTCTATGAAACGTCAAGCTACCCCACCAGCNAACTGAGTGAGAGACGGTGCAACGCAGGTAGATGACGTCACTGCCGAAAGTGAAGACTTCAAAATAAAAGCATTAGCTCCCAAAACGGTCTTTTGTAGTAAACATACCAAAATAAAAGTGACAATAAATAATATTGGAACAATAAAATAAAACGTGAGGGATTATTGGTGGAATGCATTCCTGTATATTTATATACCTGCTACACATACATGAAGTATATTGGGTATGTAAGTTAAATCACACACATAAGTTAAAATAAATCAATGTTGGTTTCCATGCACGATACAACTAGTAGTCTCCTATATGAATGTCTTGCTAGACTTCCTACACATACTTAGTCACTCTATACCACAAAATCTGACTTCCTTCTTTATTCATGTAATTTTAATGAAGCAAAAAGATACAGCTCGTGCAATGCTATATCGTTACCTAGATTGTTATAGTTTTACTGAGAGCCACTACGCACATAACTGAATGTCGATATAATGGGCAATGGCATCTGTGGTATACCATTCATAGAAAAATATTAAGTCTCACAACATCTCAGTGCATAACTCTGTATGTAAATAATGACACTGCTCAATAAGATGACTCCAATGAGAGATCAAGCTAATGTTAGCATCTTCACTGGGACCATTTAGCAAACAGCTAATAGCTCTTCTCCACGGGAGGCCATCAGAGCTCTGCTCTGTGTCGGCTTCTCTCAGAATGGCTGTGCTGGAAATGGCACATGATCTCAAAATATCTCATCCGGGAGAAATGAATTGATGAGAATGTAAACTGAACCCACACACAGAGATACACACAAAAATGCTGAGTTTATTTCTTCCAGGGGACATAAATATATGGCAGTTGAGATCCATTTGCTGTAAACATGTAGTCTGTCTTCTGAACAGAAGGCATCTCAGTGGGGAGCCAGCTGGCGTTGTGGAGGTGTAATAGTTTAACGAAGGATATATGTCCACGTGGTTGTTTGTTGGTGTGTCTGGAAATGCTTTTTTCAGCCAGTTTGGCACTTTTGCAGGTCTTATTGGCCTGCAGAAGCAGAGCTACCTCTGCAGGGGCGAAAACTGTAAAGGTCCCATTAAGTGTGCTAGGCACCACAGCAGGCATCTGTGACCTTTGTATAAAACAAACAAGGAAAGCTTCTGGCGAAAGAGTTTCAAAAATTGCACTCCCAACCATCCTTCCAGCTCCACGAAGAAGACAAAAGGTGAAGGTAGCTGTAAAAAACTTGAATGAAAAAGTTGAGTCAGGTCATTTTGACCACAGAGAAGCCCACAAATTGTGAAAATACAACTTATTCTTAATTAATACTTGCTGGAAAATGTTTTGAGGAACCTAATTATTTTCTGAAGTTAATTCAATCTGGCTTCCCTTCACAAATGTGATTCATCCTTCCTAACAGGAACCCTCAGTAGCCTATACAGTTAGACCCTCCAGAAAAACGCGGGCAAAAATCCTTGATTATGCGGGCTAAATTCCTTGATTATGCGGGCTAAAATCCTTGATTATGCTATTAAACATGCAGGGTTTTTATGTGATTTTATGCGGTGAAATTGCGGGAAGTTGCGAAATATGCGGAAAGTTGCGAAATATGCTAAATATGCGGGAAAAAAGAATAACAATTTTTTTAAATATTGGGCTGTCTTATTTATTCTCTCTCACACACAACCTGCCACTAACGTTAAGA